ATACAATAAAGAAAATAGTGAACAATTATTTACTACAAGATTCAAGAAGCTACTGTCTCCATCTCTTTAGCGAAATCAAATGAGATTGAACATAATATCTCATGTCATAAGGTTTCAGGCTACTTTGCATTGAAGAGCCTGGTGCTTGCCCTTTACCAATGTATTCAAAATAATCTATCCATCGAGAATACAAAGCAAAAGACCCTTAGACTCCTTATGTATTATTACTACACCAGACAGTGTCTTTCTATTTAATGCTGAATTCATATGCTCCGCCATCGACGCGCGTGCGAGCAGAGGACAAAGGCAGCTGAGGTGCGACGAGAAAGCCACTTCGAAAATCCGAATTGGGCAGTCGACGAACGTCGATAAACCGGCAGTAAACCGACGCGTCGTTAGTCGCTTAGCTGCCTTACATAATTCCGGTAAAACCTCGGACGACGAGTTGGGCCAGCCGTCTCAGAGCGTCCTCATCCTCACTAGTCGTCTTAATTAGGAAACACATCTATAAATAAGTTGCATTATATAAGCCCTATTACATAACATCTTCACATACACCCTAGCAGAGAGGATCGAGGATGCAGAGACGGATGGTTCTAGGAGCCTGGCATGGGCCCTGCACAAGGATGACACGCTTACCCAGAGTGGCAGGTCTACGGAGCTCAATATTTATGCTGTTTTTCCCTATGAGTTGTCTTTGCCCCGATGGCTTCCCCTTTCCTGATGGTAGTATGCAGTCTGAGAATGAACCTTCTTCCGTGAGATCTACGGTCCTGTGGCGGGGGAGCCACAGTCCATTACAGTCCCAGTTCCCACGCCATTTGGGACCCCGGCCTCTCCATTCCCCGTCCATCCCGGCCTGCTGGAGGGCCAGATACACGCCTCCCGTGCTTCAAATATTGTATATACTTGCAAATATAATCTATGCTATTGTTAGTAATATTTGAGGGTCAAAGAAGCACATCAGGCGCTCGGGAACCCTACAAACGCGCGGGTGAGGTAACCAGATATCTACCCGAGGGACTGTAAATGCCAAGGCTATGGACTGTGAATTTCACCAGCGGAAATCGCGTCGTGACGCGATTTGGCGCGGGCGCGCGCCAAAATCGACCCCCTCCTCAGCTAGGTTCGGGTCGGGAAATTCACAGTCCCAACCGCGGCATCACAGTCCCCTCGGCACCCAGATCTGTGGCTTGCCCCGAGCTTTAGCTGACCTACTTGCTTGTTCCTGGTATTTATTCCTTACTTAGCTGCACTGTACAGTAGCTGCACATGTACTATAGTTCAAAGAAATTTTATTCCGAATTTTCTACCCTACCGTACCCTCATGGAGGAGGCTGCATCTGCCCGCCTCCCGAGCTTGACTTGCAGCGGTGGCGGGAGTTGCTTATGTAATCCGATTAAGACCGTAAACTTTCCTATGATCAGATTTACTTGCAGCGGTGGCGGGAGTTGCTTATGTAATCCGATTAAGACCGTAAACTTTCCTATGATCAGATTTACTTCTCTGGTGTCTGAGCTTCGTCTGGAATATCCGTTTGCAAATCTTGACTCCAACACACGGGTACCGGTGAGATGATGTGGCAAAGCGAGAATTGTGTGATCCTCAGTACGAGGAATACCCCATGGATTATATTTCGCAGCCACGATGAGAGATATATTACTGCGTCTGAGAGCTAGCCAACACAAGACTTTCATCAACAAGGAATGTATGAACAGCGCTGAATCGAGTGCTACAGAATGATAATGGTACAGAGTCGATGGATATTAGGTGCTATCAAACACGGAGAGATATACCGTTATTCACGACTGACTTCTACATCGCTCCAGTGCGGTCTCTTTCTCGGACCAGTCAACTTCATAAAGCATAGTCAAAGCATAGTTGCGCTATCTCGTCCCTTGCATCTTCACCCTGGCCACTGTCCCCTCCTTCCAGACTGGGTTCCCTCTGTACATGGTACAGCCTCGGACCTGACAACGTGACGTCAAGGGAGATGTACTCCAGGGATGGGACGGCTGCAGCCAACTTCCCGAGCCAATGACGCATCTCTACTTCACTTTGCCGGTGGCGTACAGCGTTGCCCGAGCCAATATGCAGGTAGATGATATGGCATTCTCCTATGGCAGCCTTGAGCAGGGGCTAAACGACCTTTAGGAAACCCCGCCTGTCATGAACGACAAAAAAAGCTCACCATGGTGTCTAAGGCCAAATCGTATGAATGATAACACCGGAACTATACCGACAGAAAGCGGAGATTGGACAAGGATCTGAAGATGCTTGGGTTAAGGTACACGGAATCAGCGCCATCAATCATAGGGAGAGTCAGCGATACACGTTCTGGGTTGGCAATCTCAAGCAATCGAGTGTATGCGGTATGAAGATCGGCAAAATCGCTGTCGAGCAGGATTCTGATTTGTAATCCCGCCATTCGCTTGGTCACAGCTTGGAGGATGTGGCCAAGTTTTCCTCCGACGGCTTTGAGGTGGTTCCAGGAAGGGAAGTCGGTACTGGGTGCCATTGTCGAGAGAGGCGACGAATCACGAGGGAACATATAACCCGCGACGATGGCGTAAAGGTGCAGGTACTGCAAGTATGGGAAAGCGTAAAGCAGCTGCGCACGTTCGAATCTATTAGCATGCAGCTGCAAGGTATGAACGCGCCATTGACGACCGTCGACAGTCTTCAATGCGAACCATCCCGGCCTATGGTACTGTGGTATGAGGTAATGACAAGTTCTTTTAAGGTATCCCGTAGAGGCTCCAGGACCAAAGTCGATTACTGAGTCGAGCCTCGTGCGCAGGCTCAGGCTTCGCAAGCCATGGCCCCGGAGCGAATGGAACATATTCACGTTAACCACGTTGTGCATGTGGTCGACGGTATCTAACTCCGAGAGGTCGGTGTGGTGAGTCCCCAGGCAAGCGAAGAAATCCAGAGTGGGTACGTCCAGGATCGCACGAGGAGACCTAGAACTGGGAAGAAGCTGTCCTATATGGACTGTAGCAGACCACATGCGGCTGGGATGGCGCATCACTCGCAGCAGCCTATCGAATGCATTTCTTGATGAGGTCATGAGGGAACTGTCTGAATCCTGTCCAGGGAGATGGTTCTGCGCTGGTAGAATGATCTCAAAGGTGTCGACGAAAGACATCCTCTCTGGCACGCTCTCGATAGACGTGCAGAAGGAGTGTATGTGCCGAACCTGGGAGAGTGTGGCATCACTGCATAGGATGGGGAAGGCAAGGTCGTGTAGCGCTCGGCACGTAGGCAAGAGCCTGGCGAGCTCGCGTCTGAGAGCAACAAAATGATGAGATGGAGGACATGTATGTTGACTACCAACAAACTGCGCCCTGCGCCCTGCTTTGGATGTTTGTTCGATATCAGCGCTCAGTACCGAGACCTCCGGAACGACTTTACCTGGCTGACCTTCGACCATCGATAGGGATGGTCGTCGAGTACGACTGAACTGACCTACGACGGCACTTACCAAATATTGATAACCAGCTGGGCGACACGCTGCAGGCTATTACAAACTGAGTGACTTCTATCCTTGTATCGACACATGCATACGCCATGAGTACAGCCGTGAACAACCGTTATCACGCGATCGGAGGGGGGAAGTGATTTGGGATGATCCTAACTCAAGCTGAACTTTCCTTATGAATGTTATTGAATTTCTCGATAAACATAACATGTAGGCTACACTCACCCGCGGGGCCCCTGCATACACACAAGAGATATGTCACATGATATTGTTGACCGTTAGTATAACATTGGCGGAGTAAAACGCGCGAAGAATGATCGCCTTCGGACGCGACACCTGTCCGTGTTGGGTCATCAAGCTACACATTCATCTTCAAGATACCACCACTTCAATTAACCGCTCTAGCACTATACCAGCACTAACATATCTCTATCAAGAACCTTACGTCCTCCGACGTATCTCCACAAGAACCCTATACAGCGAACTCCACTCACCATCCTCCCACCAATCACATCACCCTCTCCACGCCCACCCTCAGCACATCCATTGCTTGACGATGGAGCCAGATCGCGAGCACGATGAATACATGCCAGATCGCATGTGACCCGCCGCCGACCCTGTCCAGCCAGTTGCCCAGGCGGGAGTCGGGGGCGAGGAAGCACTCGGGGACGTGCGTCGCGTAGAAGACCAGGCCGGCGAGGTACGACGCAATCGACGGGAACACCGGTGCTGCGAAACGTACTCAATCCCAGACCGAAGTGCGCAGAGAACAAGGACACGGAAACTCACCGATAAACTTGAGCATCGCGGGAGGAGAATATATCCACGCGAGCCCCGCGAGCGGCGCGACGGCGCTGAACGCGAGCGCGAGGAAGAACGCGATGCGGTAGTTCTTGTATGCGCGGTCGTTGAACCACGCCTGGAAGGGCAGCACGCTGCCCACTACACCCATCACGAACGAGAACGCGAGGAAAAACGTCGAGCAAGCCGGGTGCGCGCGGAAGCCGTAGTACACGACCGTCCCGACGGACGCGGAGATCAGCCTGCTCAAAAGTATCATGAGGAAGGCACGCGGGCCAGAGAGGATGATGGGACGTACCACCCGATGCCGACGTAATCGACCCGGGCACAGAGCTCCATCCCGCGTGCGTGTGCACATCCGCTCATCGTGTGCCAGACAGCGCTGCAGAACAGGCAGAACAGTGCAAACGCGGTAAAGGCAAGTTCGGGCGCGTCCATGGTTGGGTGGTTGGAGAGCGAGGATGTGTGGGCGAGCGTCGAGGCGGAGGAGAGGAGGAGGTGCGGGAGCGAGCGGAGGAGGGAGGGGAGCCAGACGAGGAAGGGGATGAGGTGCGTGTGGATGTTGACTGATCGCGCGGTGAGGCAGGGCGGCTAGAGGCAGAAAGACAGACTTACGGGTTTCGTTGTGCAGCATGAAGAGGGAGAGGATGATTAGCGGCCATCGTTCTAGTGGAATAAATCTGCGAATATGAGGCTCTCGTACTGAATCCAATCGACGGAACGTAGACACTTGCCGATATCCGCCACGCACAAACTCATTGTTCCGCCATTGATGGGGCAAGTCCGCGTACTGGATGAGCTTGCTCCCGTCAAACGAGCGCTTGATAGCATCCTTGATCTCCCGCGCCGCGCGCCCGACAGCATCCTCCGTCTCGTCGATCCTGGTCTTCCCCTTCTCCATGAGCTCGGGGATGACCGTGCTGGACAGGTGGGCAAGCATGTCGAGCACAGTCGTGGACAGGGGAACAGTGGACGAGGCGGACGCAAGGTGCGAATGGAGGGACTCGAGGTGGGACGAGAGGCGCGGGATGTAGCTGAGCGGGCGATGCGCACTGAAGTTAAAGTCGGAGAGCCGAGCGCGGAGGTCGGCGAGCGCGAACGAGGGCACGTCGGGCATGTCAGGCAGGTGTGCTCGGACGTCAGGCATGTCGGGCAGGTGCGGCATGTCGGGCAGGTGCGTGCGGACGTCCTCCAGTCTTGAGCGCATCCCTTCCAGCGACGGAAGGCCGACATAGTCCAGGTCGGGGAGGAACGTCGACACATCCGCTCGGATCTTCTCCAGCATCTCCATCCCCGTCTGCGCCCACTCTGCCGCACCCTTCTCCGCTGGCGAAAGCAGCTCACATTCTGCCAGACGCTTCTCGAGGTCGGCGAGGTAGTCAAGGACCACAAGACGCACGGAGGCAAGCGTCGGAACGAGAGTCGCGGAGGTCGGAAGGTCGAGCGCCTCGATCGAGTGCGGAAAGGTTTGGCAGAGCAACTTGGACTTTGGCCGATGCGATGGGGCCGCCATGGACATATGCCGCCGGTGTCGAGGCGGACTTGGTGACCTGACGGTAGTAGTCGTCGTCGTTACAGTCGCTGTAGACATAACGGATAGAAGTCAGGCAAAACAGAGCGGAACGAGCGACAGCAGGGGTCAAAGCGGAGAGCAAGGTGCAAAGTCGAAGCCTAGAATCAGATGCTACAATAGTGGAGAGCAGGCAGCGAACGTGGGCGGGTATAAGTTAGCGATATCTGCCAGAATCGTGTCAGGTCGAAGGGTATATGATATCGGCGGATACGGGCACGCACACACCAATGCTTGTGGCGCGCAGACCGCTCGGAGCGGCCGTAGCCACGTGCTTAACGCCAGCCACCTCACTGGTGGCATTGGCGGCATGTGGCGGTGGAGAAGGCTTCGGGAGGAGTAAAGGACCAGGATAAAGCACCAGGAGCAGGCCGGAGAGGGAAGTGGGAGGAGGCAGGAGGAGGAGGGCAGGAGGAGGGGAGGCCGCAAGGCCTTGCCCCGTTCCTATCAAGATCACAGTCTACACATCTCGACGGGGACATCGACCACTACGCACCCCTCTATTTTATTAAAGTAATGAACGTCGTCTATATCCTCCTCGTGCTCCCCCCAAACCTGGGCACGAATACGTGGTTCGCGAAGTCCACGTCTGTCCCTGACTTCTTGTAGATCCTGCACCTGAGTAAGACGGGCAGTACATGATCGTTGACGGGGGAGAGGGAAATGTAGCGAGAGGAGAAGAAAAGGTAGGTCAATGAGAGGGAAAGGGAGGAAAGGAAGAGGAGAAGGTAGGGAAAATAGAGCATTGAGCAGGCGTATCATTCTCCAATGCTGTCTAGCAGGAATGAGTGGGATGCAAGAGTGAGATGGTTGATCACATCAAAATCAAGGAGACTTGAAGATAGCAGGTGGGCTGATAAAATATAAGGAGCATGACACCTACCTAGAAAAAATAAGTCAGCCACAACTTACCGCTTAACTTGGCGGTTGCGCCGGGAAATCGAGAGAAAGGCAGCTCGTCTAATTTCTTACCAGTACCCTCAGACGGAACTTGAACGGTCGTCCGACATTATCACCTCCTTAGTGATAGTCAGGATAATCAGCTTCGACGACGAGCGGCCTGAAAGTTATACGCTCTGTATGCTTCGCCGCAGCGTTGGAAGACAGTGATACATCACAAAATGAACGTACAAGAAAGAGCCTAGGTACCGAGGATCAGTGAACATGTAGAAGGACTTGCAGTATCGCATTCTTCACACATACCAGGATTCCACCCGACATTGACAGCGTTGATACAGAATAATAACACTTCCACCCTCTTCCTCATACTTCTTCTTTGTCTGAGAAGTCATCTTCACTCACTTCTTGGGGTAGTTTGATGAAAGCACTGAAATGAGGTCCCAGCGCCATTGCTCCGGGCATCATCCTACGCCTCATATCGCTCCGGGCCTGCCGCACTTCCGACGTCATATAACGGTCATCTCTCATCTCGAGTGCCTCGAGCACACCGAGGGGGGGCCTTGCGACGTCCTTCCACAATTTTACGTCGTCCTTCTCAATGGCCGGGAAAGTCTCAGGCGAAAGACCCGCACACCAGATGTCATAGGCGGTGTACTGTGAGGGTGGTTCAGGACTTCCATCGTTTTCGGGAGAGGGAGCGACGATAGTGATCCCTGATCGCCGAGACCCAAGACAGAAGGCCATGCGGATGACAGGCAGCGGCGCTTCGTCCTCGGAGAAGAGCTCAAAATCGAACGGATCCATACATGCGAAGTGATGCTCCCACACTTCGGTGCCGAAAGCGTGATCGTTCTTCACAGTTATCAGGACAGCAGAGACATTTGTCGCCTGGATGGTGGTGTCATGAAACAGGAACGGAATCACAATCTCGACGTTTCGCTGGTGGTCGGGACAGATAATCGCAGCACCACGGACAACGAGGGCCCATAAATAGTGTACGTTGACCACTTCGTACTCTTGGACTTTGATGAAATGGTTGAACGCCATGCGAGCATCCTTGAACGTCTCAGAGAACGCCTTACATTCACCCTCGCGAGATACAGAAGGCAGAGCATCTTTGAGTTTCTGGTGTGCTGAGCTAGGCAATAGAGCTCCAAAGAAATCGACAACAGAGAACACCCTGGGCTTCCCCCAATATACGACGTTATCGCGGGCTTTCATGAGAAGCAGCATGGCAGCGAGCTCGCCCCGGTCTCCTCGGTGTACACCCCATGCATCCAAGTTGCGCGCCATCTGCTCGAAGTAGACCCGGCGACCCAGTTGTATAGCCGCAGCTTCAGCAAGGAGCGGCTCCGACGATGCGACCGTCACCATAGTCTGGAATCCCGGAGTCGCGGCAAGGCATATCCGCATATGGCATTCCACCTGCTCGCGCTCGATCTGCTGCTCGTAAGGGCCCTTTGCACGGAATTCAAACGCGAAGCGGATGGCGAGGCAGGCGAGGAGTCCATCGTCGGCTAGCGGCTGGTATCCCCACACGTTGGAGTGTACCAGCTTCAATGCTGCGAAATCCAAGAGGTCCTGCCTGACGTACTGATTGCCAGCATCATAGCGGGAGCCGAATCTATCCCACAAGAGGTTTGTCAATGCAATGGCTCGGGAAAGGGGAAATAAACCCAGGCATCACAGATAGAGGCAAGAAAACGGGGATTGCACGCACAGAGGTCGACCCAAATGGCCCATGAAATCATCCCTTGTGACGCGTTCCAGAGTGTACTCCCCCTCCCTGGCTCGTATAGCGAGATCATCAAATACAACTTCAGTGATTGAAGGCAATATCTGGCGCTTTTCCGGCACGTTCCAAGCAAATCTGTGGACTCGTGGAAGTAGTTCATGCTCTTCAAATGTCCCCGGCGTTGTGGACAGAAAGAGCGAGAAGATGGGGTACCCTTCCAAGGCGCGTAGTACGCGCGTCAATTCAGAGAAGACTGACCACTTGCCACCGGTCCGTTGATGATACTGAGTATGCGTGAGCACATGGGCCTCGTCGAAGGAGAAGATTACAGCAGGGCCGGTGAAGTCTTGCTGTAATTCAGGTGTTGATCCGCCAAAAACGACCTTCATCAGCTTTTCTGCCGCCTTGGATATGTTTGGGAGTTCTGTGATGCTCGTCAGAGCTATTATTTGCTATGTAAGAAATGCAACCCACGACGAGGCTGGCTGGAAGGGACTGTTTTGCCGTAGTCTCGTGTGTCTGCGAACTATAAATGACGGTCAATGCGGTTCCCAGTCACGATAACGACTGATTTCAGCTACTTTACTTTCTCCGCCACAGCAATCACATCGCCGTAGAACTCCCGCCGATATTTATTAGCGGCATCAAAGGTCTGCCCTTCCGTCATGCACTCACGAAACGCCGAAGCAAGCTGGTTGACCCTCGCCTCGCTGCGCAGGTCGGCCAGACCGCAGTGTTTCTCCACGATCTTCAGCCGCTCCGCGGTAACAGTGAGCAGCGCATACAGGAACCCCTCCGCCCGGCCGTCGTTGCACGACACCTTCCCCGTGAGCCAGAACATGAGGTCCCTGTCGTGCGGGGGGAAGCCTGCCAGTGGGTCCAAACCATCGCGTCAGGTTCCCCGGCGCGTCCGATCGAAAGAGGTTAAGTAATACCCGTCGTGCCCCGCTCGCGCACGCACATCTGCACGACGACCACCTGCTTGCCCAGCTCATCGACGATCCGCGACTTGCCCGTGCCGGAGGCGTTGACGAGCGTGGAGTAGCGCGCGTAGGTGTCGCGCCCCGGGTCGAGGAAGCTGGAGAGCGTCTCGCGCAGGACGCGCGCGGTCTCGCCTTGGAAGGGTCTATTCCAGCTTCGTATCGTGGCTAGTCATCCGTTCGAAAAGTCATACAGCCAAATATATTCGCAACTCAAGAGCGCTCACCGATTGCTTGCTCAACGCCGCTTTGGCCGTAGGGCACATCGCCGACGTTGATAACAGACGTTTTCTGTGCCTTCTCCGGGTCCGGCGGTGACCTGCGAGGGAGAGACATACCCCTTAGCTTGGCTCGGAGCGCCTCGAGCGAGTTCGCGTCCACACTCCCGCGAACCAGTCGCCGGACGTCCTCGTCCTGCGCCACAGCGAAGTAGTCGACGTCTGCGGAGACAGAGTGAGGCAGCAGGCCTTCGAACGCTGCCTCGAGCACCTCATAGAAGCCCGCGAGCGCGCGACTGGGAGCCTGCAGAGCACGGGCCCACGCTGAATCGTCCGTGTCCTGGAGCAGCTGCACGGCGTCGCTGACGGCCTGGAAGAACGGGTCGGGCTCCATCCCAGCTGATGGATCCAGAGGAACTGGAGAGATCCTGGGAGACTTGCGCGCTGTTTCGTCTGGCGACGAGGGTCGCTTGGACATATTGTAGTACAATACAGTACTTGGATTGAGGTATAGGCGGGAAATGCCGAGATCGGCGTCCACTAGCAGTGACCGGGATTCGGACGGTTTGCCACAGCCTATATTCTATGCCTCTGCTCGTTCCTCGCGTTGGCATAGAGTTCTAATTACCCTAGCTAAATTCAAAGTACGGTCGACTTCATGAGCATGTGCTGATATTTGAATTCTGTGAAAAACATTTGGGTTCCGCTTCTGGAGCATCCTATATTTTCGGTCGCTCGCTGTGCAATTGTACCCCGGCGGGTGCTACTAGTATCTGTGAGGATTCGGACTAACCGTTCTTCCATTCTCGCAGGTTCCGACAGCCACACTATTATCAAGTGGTGGACACCGGGAGAAGCCGAGACCGCATGAAGGGGGGAGGGGGGGGTCCTCGAGGGCCTTAACAGGAATTTATTAAAAATAGATTTGGCTCTGTGACAGCCCTGATGGCAGAGATACGGTACAGGCGGTACTAAAATTGCTTGCTAGTGAGGGTTACAGGGCTTTATTATCCAGGACAACCTCGCCTTGGCCATTGCACGGAAGAAAACATAAAGCGTGACAACATATAGTGTGACAATGGAGTGACGTGTGGGAGCACTGAAAGATGACTAAGCAAACCCTAACCTGGATGTGCCTGGGACCTACCTTCCCGATATGGTACCGTGGGACGCTCCCACGGGGGGGAGGGGGGGGCCTCTGGGACCTTAGCAGGATTTCCTATCATGCGGTCTAAAATTTTATTATTGTCCACCCGTTGACTATTATCTAAGACTTTCTCATAACGTAGGTATATAAGTAGTTCCTTCTACTCGATGTACCTCAGTTGTTCTCTTGCTCTTCGCAATAGATCTTGGTTTGGTGATTGCACTGTGCGACTCTCTTCGAACCTTGTCTAAGAATGACTCTAGTAAGGCGCTTAAGTAAGCTGAGTACCTTACATTTTTTCACCAAAACCATTCTATTGCACTAACCGACTACGACACGGACTGATCACCCGCTGTCTGTCGAACCCTTCGTAGCTCTCAGGT